AGAGATTGTGATTGATCCCAGTAGTCTGGTCCTTGGAAACACTTACCCTGTCAATCAGAACCAAAGTTTTCAAGGTAAAGAATTCTTGGTTTAAGTGGGAGATAAGAATGTAGAAGGGATATTGGTATGAAGGGTGCACATTAAGTGAAGTTCACTTTCTCTGCACAAAGCCTGAGTTAAACAGGTGTTTTGGCACGGCAACGTTTTGGATATTTGTGAAGGAAATAAAAATCTACCCCTCATTTAGGGAAAAAGTACAGAAGAGCCCCATCCACAATTATACTTTAGCCACTGGCCTAAATCGGGGCAGTGACCCTGCACACCTCAGAGGTTTGTGGCAAAAGCTTCTGTGTGTAATTGGAAATCCACTGGTTGCAACCCTCTCCAGTCACACTCCAGATTCCTCCCGTGAATTAGTTATGCAAGCCTGGATCTACTCTGTGCATCCATTTTGCAACTGCCAACCCCCACAAAGCAGAACTGTAGCAGTTTGCTACATCTGGGGCAGCTCCTAAATTGCTGGGCAAATTACTTTATTGTGATACACATTGTTGATTGCACAGCACATTGCAACACAGATCTTAAACACTGTTAGGAAAACAGCAACAGGCTATATGGATTTTTTGGATTACTGGGGCTCATAGTCTCCAGTCTGAAAGGTTATAATGGAGTCAGCTGGAATGTTTGTTAAAGTAGAGTTAAGAAGGTTTTAAATATGTATCAACAATGGAAAGGGAAAAGGTTGATTGTTGAATGTTGTCAATTGAAAAGCAAACAGCTCATCAAAGCAGGAAATGCAAAATTAAGGTTACAAAAAGAGGATGCAGGGAAACATGGAGCTAAGGTGGGGTGAGCAATAATTTTAGATGTGGGGGCCACTTCATTCATTTTTGAAGTGGCCCTGGGCCCTCCCAGAAGAGGCAGGGCCTCTGGTGGAAGGAGCGGGGACAGGACATTTCCATGCTCCCTCTCCCACAGACCTTGATTGGCCTGGGTGTGGGAAAGCATGTGAAGTCTTTGCCTTCGCCCTCCCTCCACCTAGTGAGAACTGCCAGCTGTTCAGAACAGTTGGCGGTTCCCTCTAGGCACCCACCCCCTTGCAGGGCAGGAGGAGACTTCATGCACTCCCCTGTCCCGAGGCCAATCAGAGTTTGGGGTCTGGAGGAGCACACTAAGTATCTTGCTTTCTGCCTCTGCCCTGCAAGGGGCACACGGCACTTGTAGGGTGGGGTCAGGGAACAGGAGACTTTGCATGCTCCTCCCACCCCTAGGCCCTGATTGGCTGGGGAGCGGCAGGGCATCTGCAGGCTGGATCCACCAACTTGGCAGGCCGGATCTGGCTCGCAGAGGCCCCTTTGCCCACCCCTGAGCTAAGGGTACTCCAACCAACCTCTATCTTCATTATTGGCACACAATATTGGCATATCCCACTACAGTGCACAGACAAATGTATAATCTGGGCATCACTCCCTTCTCCTATCTGCCATCTCCATGATCAGTGGCTTGCCTTCAGTTAATCCTCCTGCGGCCAGATAGTAACATCTCTGGGGAGGAATTGTTATACCAAATAAAAGCAAGCAGGATCTTATGAGGGGGATAAGGCAAAAAGCCACATTTATTGTAAAGATAATAATAAAAAAATAAAGAAAAGTTTCAAGCAAACAACGTTGTTTAACTACTTATTCCTGTCACTACTTAACCCTTATATATATATATATATATATATAAACATTCATTCATACATCCATTCATTCAAGTTCTGTGTATAGTTACCAGCCTGGAAGTGGCTTGTGACAGAATACTGGCCAGGTACTCTGTACACAAGTGATGGTAGTGGGGAGCGAAGTCCTGATCAGATGCGCATCTGAAGCTCCTGGTAGGCTGGCAGCAGAACCTTGGACTCTGATTCCATAGTTTTTTAGTCCAGTTCTTATAGGAATTTCTTCCTAGGCCAGTCTATGGAAATTGCTGTATCATGCTGATGTCTCCAGGGTGGCTGCCAGGTGCTCATCAGTGATCTCATCGGGTGGACCTCCAGTTTCTCCACTTGACACCTTTTGGTTGCACCGGCACCTGACGCCTTCTTCAGCCCTTTGTTGCTGTATTCTCAGGCTGGCACCTCTCAGAACCATTCACTCATCATCCAAGCACTCTCTCATACATTCATACAGTATTTTGTATAATAATAAAAGTTGTAGTTACAGAAAGTTTCTCCAAGCACTCTCTCTCTTACATACATTCCCTAATTAATATTTCCCATACAGTATTTCGTATAATAACAACTTTACATATTCAAGAGTTGTAGTTACAAAAGTTTCTGGGTGGTATTGCTTAAAACATTCTCTGAGTGCTGAGTAAAGTTACAATGTTTTAAAGAGAACAGGCGTCAATTATGTAACAATGCCCTTAGTCAATTACAGGGCTTGGCTCCCATAGCAGAGTTAGTGGCTTGACAGTGCATTCTTACAATGTATCTCTGCAATGTCAATTTCAAGCAGCCCCTTGCACTAGCTTGAGCATGCCCTGGGACACAGAGGGGGGGCTGTTTCTGGCTACATAGGATTATATTCTTAACAGTTCTAAGTTACATGACCTAATACATTATATTCTAAAGGGGCAATAATAATAATAAATCTAAACATTTAACAATCTTAACAAATAATAATAATAATAATAAGAAGAAGAAGAAGAAGAAGAATTAATAATAAATCTAAACACTTTAAGTTGTGGGGAACAAATTATGGGGAGTCACTTCCATTTGGGGGAATCATTTTCAATACATTAATATGTTATCCCTACAGAATTATCTGATGGATGAAACATAGGACTGGGAATCTCAAAACTAGGTTCCTATATTCTGTTTTACAAATGCAGTCATTATTATAATTTTTTTTATTGGTAGTGCATCTGCATTTGCTTCAATCATTATTGGTTTTTTTTTGTTCTTGTATGAAAGTCCCTTCATAAACTGCCGTTTGTTTTCACCTCTGCCACTCCTACTCCCTGAGACACAGGTAAATAGTGAAAAAATATACATCCTCTCCTCCTGGTTATTTGAACCCTCCCTTAAAAATCATAATAAAATGGTGAAATGGTAACTGGTGCTGGTGTCCCTCACCAAATCACATACAGACCTAGCGTATGTCTACACTACCACCCTAGTTCGAACTAGGGTGGTTAATGTAGGCAACTGGAGTTGCAAATGAAGCCCGGGATTTGAATTTCCCGGGCTTCATTTGCAACTCCAGTTGCCTACATTAACCACCCTAGTTCGAACTAGGGTGGTTAATGTAGGCAACTGGAGTTGCAAATGAAGCCCGGGATTTGAATTTCCCGGGCTTCATTTGCAACTCCAGTTGCCTACATTAACCACCCTAGTTCGAACTAGGGTGGTTAATGTAGGCAACTGGAGTTGCAAATGAAGCCCGGGATTTGAATTTCCCGGGCTTCATTTGCAACTCCAGTTGCCTACATTAACCACCCTAGTTCGAACTAGGGTGGTTAATGTAGGCAACTGGAGTTGCAAATGAAGCCCGGGATTTGAATTTCCCGGGCTTCATTTGCAACTCCAGTTGCCTACATTAACCACCCTAGTTCGAACTAGGGTGGTAGTGTAGACATACCCCTAGATACTAACTGGGATGCAACTCTAGATATGAGTCAACAGTGTGCCCTTGTAGCCAAGAAGACTAATGGCAGATTAGGGTACATTAGGAGGAATATTTCCAGCAGATCTAGAGAAGTTACTATTCCCCTTTATTCAGCATTGGTGAGGCCACATCTGGAGTATTGTGTCCAGTTCTGGGCTCCCCACTACAGAAAGGATGTGGATGCATTGGAGAGGGTCCAATGGCGGGCAACCAAAATGATTAGGGGGTTGGAGCACATGACCTACGAGGAGATGCTGAGGGATTTGGGCTTATTTAGTCTGCAGAAGAGAAGAGTGAGGGGGGATTTGATAGCAGCCTTCAACTTCCTGAAGGGAGGTTCCAAAGAGGGTGGAGAGAGGCTGTTCTCAGTAGTGATGGATGGCAGGACAAGGCCATCTCAAGTTACAGTGAGGGAGGACTAGGTTGGCTATTAGGAAAAACTATTTCACTAAGAGGGTGTTTAAGTATTGGAATGGGTTACATAGGGAGGTAGTCTCCATCCCTAGAGGTTTTTAATTCTCAGCTTGACAAAACACTGGCTGGGATGATTTAATTGGGATTGGTCCTGTTTTGGGCAAGGGGCTGGACTCGATGCTCTCCTGAGGTCTTTTCCAGCCCTATGATTCTTTGATTCTAAAGTTTGCATATTGGGAGTTGATTTATATCGAATGGTCTGGCTCAAAACCCTACCTCTAACTCCCCTAAAGTTTGGAGATATAACTTTGTCTTCTCGACCCATCTTTCAATACATTCTCAGCCTGATAGTACTGACAGCTGTTTCATATAGGTCTTCTTGCCGAACAGCTCTCAAAACCCAAATCCCTCTTGTTTTTTGCCTTAGGATGTATGAAGGATGTCAGATTTAATAATTACAGGCTGCCTCTGGATACTCACACTAAGGAGCTGGTGTCAGTATTAAGTGCCCAAGGAGTGAAAGAAGGCTGCTCTTCAGAGGCTTGCAGGAACAACCCCTGTAGCCATCCGTTTACTTGTATCGACTTGTGGATGATGCATGAATGCAGGTAATTAGGGGATGCAAGAGCATAGAAAATGCCAGGGCAATGTAGGAGGGCTGTCTGTTGAAGTGTGTAAGTTGGAAAGAGTCCTCTGCATAGCATCATCCAGTTCAACAATAGTGAAATACAGGGCCAAATTCCACGCTTACTTATGCTGCTGCAACCTCATGAGCTTCAGCAGAGCTTACTGATGTAAATCAGAGCAGTCCCTTTCAACCAGATCCTTAGCTGGTATAAAATGGTGTTATCACCATTGACTGAAATTAAGGTAAGCAGATTAACACCAGCTGGACATTCGGCTTTCTGCTTGATTAAAGCTGCTCATGGAATATAAAAAATACAGAGCTGTTTGACCCACTTTTGGAAAACTGAAATTGGGAAGTAATATGGATTGATTGTGCTAATAGATTTCTAAAATGAATAGCTCTGAAGATGGCTTGGATAATAATGTTTTTGTGTGTGTCAGATGCCCTTTATACAACATAAAAAGTTAGGCATAAATCATAGGATACAGCATTCACTATAGAATGTATCTTGTTATACTAAGTTCATAAGAACATGCTACATTGAACATTCATTATTATGGGATAATCAAAATTGTGATAATGCTTGAAGTGACTTTACAAAATCCTGTTTTTCAACACATATTTTCCTGCGAAATCTAAAAGGATTTTATCCATATCCACAGTTAACTCCTGATGAGTTGAATTCCTTAAACAAACAAACAAACAAACAAACAAACAAACAAACAAACAAACAAACAAATATAAAGCTAGCTCAAACTAGGAGAAAACTAAAAACCAGGAGACCAGGAGAAAACTAAAAACATTAAATTTTGTGTTTAGGCCGATGGTCTAAATGACAAGGTTCAGCTGGATGCAGTTTCAAAGAGTCAAAGTGTTCCTAAAAGTTATTGCTTGAGAATGGAAACACCAGCCCATTCTTCATTCTTAAGATAGCTTCACTGCAAAATTAACTCAAGTTACCTCTCGAGTTAGCCTTGCCTGAATGAGAATAGCCAGGCATTAAAACAGCAGAGGGATTATGTTAGCAGTTGATGAGTTGTGCTGACTGGAGCTGGATCTTGTACCCCCTGATGTGCCAGCTGATTCAAGTTAAAAGCATCACCACTCTCAAGTAATGGTTTTTTTTCTGTAGATGATTAGGGACAACTCTTGAGTTATTAAACTGGAGTTAACTCTGAAATAAAGACGACTCCTTAGTACACTATTGTACTAATGCTGTTCTAATAAGAATTGTATACGTGTTTTTTGTAAAAAAACAACCTTTAGAGGTGTGGAGCTTTCCTAAGCTGGGGAAACACAGGAGGGGTTAACATCATCTTACAGCACGTTAGATCTGCAAATCCTGCATTTGATCACATACTTGTTCTTAGCAGTCCGTCTCACTAGCATTCCCATAAGTAAGTGGTTGGAAGACTGGGCCATTATTTTTGTCTTTGTTTCCTTAAAGAGACAAACTCTTTTGCCTCTTCTCTGACTACCCTGAGACCATTCATGAGGGTAAACACTGCGAAAGTAGGAACTTCATGTAAGACAACTCAGTAGACTGTATTCAGACATATAGCATGTGTCCCTAGGCTGGTATAGGATTATCAGTGCTCTTTCATGACTTCTGTTACAAGTTTTATTGTTTTACTCTTGGTTTTGTCTTTCTAGTTGCCCTCTGGGACACATGATCATGGAGAATGCCACAGGCAGGCACTGTATCTATACCATATGTGCTAAAAGACCCTGTAACTTTGGCACATGTATCTCCCAGTCTCCTACCAAGTTCCGATGTCATTGTCCTGATGGCTACACTGGCCCCTACTGTGAAATCACACTGGCAATCTTTCACAAGGATGCAGGCTTGAGCTTCAGTTCCATGTTTGCCATCTGCATTTGCTTTTTGGCACTTTTAGGTAGTTATGGCAACTACATCTTATACTACCTTTGGTGATTTAATTCATACATCCTCTATTGTCCTGGAAACTCATCATGTTGTCTTCCTGTGAAAATTTACTTCTTTGTGGACACTGGGCTTAGCCTTTACTGTTTCGTCTTTCTCTCTGTTCCATCCACCAATGCTGTCACTTTTCATCCCTGTCTTCAAAAGTTTTATTGGTAATTGGCATTGATTGAACTGTAGAAAGCCCTGGCAGTTTTCTGATTTTTATTTTTTTGGCATTTCATTTTCAAGAAACTGTTCAGAGGGCACAAGGCAAATTCAGTCAATATCTAGAAAAAAGATTGCTAGGAGAAAGCCATTATTTAAAATACAACTAGTCATGGAACAGATTATTTCAGCCCATGAGAAATAAATTGTCACTGAGAGTAGATTTTGACTTCTGGATGTCAACTAGGAGCATGCTTATTTTAAATATCCAGCCAACTGTAAGTTATCATAGTGTAAATAATTCAGAAGCTGCTGGTTTGTTATATAAATTTGTTATATGTGAGTATCTCAGAATCAGATTCCATTAAAAAAATTGGCAAAGGATTGTTGCATATGGTGAGATCTATATATCACATTCTGGTAAACTGCAGAATGAAAATGTAAACACAGAAATCTCAAAATAACTTATGAACAATTTATAAAAAATGCTCATTCTCACAGCAAATACATTTTAAATTGAATGCCATAAAGGCCCCATCCTGTTCTTACAGAAATTGCTGTGGAGTCTTGACATCGACACCAATGGGATCAGAAGTAGGCTGTAAGAAAGGATTTTATTATGAATTTTTACAGGAAAGATGATAACAAAATGTATTGTATTTACATAATGTTAATAAATATCTTCACTATATTAGAAGTTTTTACAATTTTCAGCATGTAAATTGCAACCAAACATAATTTTTCTAATTATATAAACTTGCAGATGTTAAGGCATAAACATGTGCCTGAATTATTTTTTCTAATAAAGTGTGTGATGCACAATTCAATTCCCTTTGTCTCATGTCATCTTATGCTTCATTTCTGTCTTGTTCACAGAATTGTCTCTCTTCCTCAGAACTCATCTTCATCAGTTTTTGTGCTACACCTTTGTATGCATTTTCTGTTAAGCTTCAAGTCTGTCCAAGTCAGTACGGTAAAGAGATACTTTGATCTTAAATAACCATTTCTGCATGCCATTCAGTTCTTCAGTAGTTACTAACTTTGTAATAAGGGAAAACCTCAAGGCTTATCTTTGATATTGCTTGCAACTATATTTACCATTAATGGAAGAAATGCTCAAAGCAAAAGAAGAGCTGATCACTACAGCTGATGATTTTATGAGGTTGTCTTTTAAAGGGCCAGAATCCACTTTCTTTACACTAGCTTTAAACCAGTGTACCCACTTTGGCTAACTCATTAAAGGTATTTAGGCATCTAACTTCAATTGAAAGCAGTGGGAGCTAAACATCTAAATATCTGCAAGGATCTGGGCAACTGATTTCAATGAAGTTTCTTTTGGTTTACAATGATGTGAGGGCAGACTCAGGTGCTCAGTGTGAAGACTGAAACCATTCTACCCATTTCACTTCAGACTGGCTATCAATATCAAGTGATAAACAATTAGTGTCTTTATCACACTGCAATATTTTTTTTAAAGTCTCGGTTTAATTTCTGAATGATCACTCTCTGCTTCACTCCTGTGTGTGTACAGTTCTGTTCAGTGGTGCCTTCCTGTGGACTCGCTGGAAAAGTCACAAAGGTTTGAACAGAGGAGTGTACCATGTCTCTGCCTATCATAATGACCTGGAGGACATCAGAGAAAATATCCTCAACTATAATGAAGAAGGGGGTGGGGAGCAGGATCAAGTAAGGATCACTCCATTAAATCAATATGATACAAGTGGGCTAGTGGTTCCCCAATCTAGTGAAACACTAGGGAATCAGTTGTGCTCCTTGACCTCAGGTCTGCTTACATTACTGCAAGTGACTGATGAACTTATTTGTAAGGTTGCATGTGGTATTTTTTTTTACAAATGGATACATAAATGTCTATACTTATTAATACCTTCTATGGGCCAAATTTTAGCAAGACTGATCCAAATAAAAAAAAAAAAAAAAAGTGCCATTGGGTTCAGTGTTTATTCACCTTAGAAGATAGTGCTCCACAGAGTGGTGCTATGGCTAAACTCTTCCCCACCTCCCACGTTGGCGCACTACTTGCAGAGCTCTGCCCTGACTATTGGATCTGAGTGCCATGTTCTGTTGGAGACTCTTAACCTGTATATTTTAATATAAGGATCTGCGCTTAGAGTCTTGGTGATCTTATGCAATGTAGATTATGAGAACATCATGCATTTCTCTTCCATACTTGAACATCCCCACAGGAGCAGAAGGGGAGGCAAGGGAACTGCACAGAGGCAGTGGTTATGTCTGCCTGCCCTAGTTTCTTCCACTATTTGATCTGAGGAAGTGGGTCTGGCCCACGAAAGCTCATCACCTAATAAACCATCTTGTTAGTCTTTAAAGTGCTACATAGTCCTGTTTTTTATAAAAGTTTAATTTGCCTTAAAGCAGAAGTACCTTTGTGAGTGGTTATAAATGCTTGTAGGATGAGTTTAGCAGTTAAAGAATTTATGGGTGATCCTTTTCTGACTAAATGCTTTGGAGGCTCTTCTGTTGTCAGTTGCAATTACTGCTGTAGTGATAAGGTTTTGGAAAACTCTAACATGAAATCTCCCTATGGATCAGCTCTTTTAATGACACTTTAATGACACTCAGTTTTTATTAATTAAGGGATGCTGGCACTATTATATATTTTTTTAGCTAAAGCTTTTTAGCTCTTAGAATAAATTACTTGGGCCCTTTCTGTTCCCCTCTCCCATGGGAAGAGAAGATAATTCCAGAATATAAAACTGTTGTTGCACTTTTAATATACAACACTCCTCACTAATATGAGCTAATTCTCACATTTCCATGTGTCCTGCACCTGGATTACCAGAGTTGACTTATATTGCCATCCAAAATATGTAAACAATAATTAGAGACTTGTTAATTTTTACATTTCCAGATAATTTTCCTGAATAATTAATGGTTGTTATGTCATAAACAGTAAGACAACTGCCTTTTTTAAAACACTTGATTTAATCTAGAGGAAGGTGCAACAATATTTCCGAGCTGTGGTTGGCCTGCTGCAAGTGCTAAATAACAAAGAAAACATAACTTGAAAATAGCATTAAAATCTGAATACTTAAACTTCTGATTAAATAAGCAAAAAGTTTTGATATATTAAAATGTATATTGAACATATATGGGAACCATTTGAAAAAAATCTTTCATTTGTAAAATGTCGTCAAATTTTTGATGAATTACTGTGAACACACTTTTATGCCTAAGGGGATATTTTTCAAGCGGCATATAGATCCTGTTAGTTTCAATAAGATTTTCTCCTGTGCTACCCTTGCACATTTGCCATATAGATATTAAGGAAATAATGTTTTTAACACAGGTCTCCAGGAGTTTTTCCAAGAAGAATTAAAGAATATTCTGCAGCAAAATTAAATACACTAATAAATGCCCCCTAATCACTTAAGTGTGAAGGCAGACAGAATTAATATTGGCTTCACTGAGATCTTACTGTAGAAGGCCATTTCTCAATTATTCAGCTTTTTTAATCTGTGGAGACCTTGGCCAAAATCTTCATAAATGGTTACTGATTTAGAGTGCCTGATTCTTGGTCCAGAATTTCAAAACTAAGCACCCCACAGCTTCATATGAATTAAATGGCTGCAATCCAATGTTATCTTAAAAATGAACATAAGAATGTATGCACAGAAAAGACAACTCATGAATTTCACATTTGCTAGCTGAGGGCAGAACTGGAGAAACAAATGGGATCAATGCTGAGTTTCTATATTTGAAAGCTAGGGAATGTGCCTTTGAGGAATAAGGATTTTACAGCAAAGAGTAGTAAATCAATAGTGCATGGCTGGACAAAATACTTAACACTGTTTAGTGTTGAGCTGTGTTAACACTGGCTGGGAAGCAAGGGCCAAGGATAATCTTTGGTATTATAAATTGCCTGATTTTTTTATACATATAGGGATAAAGATCTATCTATCTATCTATCTATCTATCTATCTATCTATCTATCTATCTATCTATCTATCTATCTATCTATCTATCTACACAAAATGGAATCATTTCATTTTAAGAAACAGAAAATGCAATCAAAACATGATTTTAGTATGACTAAATTCACTGAAGACCTGATCCTTAACTCTGCTCAGGCACGCACTGACCTAATTTTGGAAGGGCCAAAAACTGCAGCATTCTGTTTTGAGAGTTTTGCCTGAGTTAGAAATTCACAATTGGATTATATAATACTTAGTACTGATTTACACTTATTTAGTACTTTTCATCTTCAAGAGACGTGTGAACATGCTTAACATGCCATGTGGTTATCACATCATCCATCAGCCAAATACAGCAACTTCTCTGAAATGGAAATAAAGACTAAAGGCTAGTCTGCACTAGAAACACAATCTGTACCAATGCTGCTGTAACATTATAGCATATTGGGTGAAAATAATCTGTTGCTGGGAAGCAAACTCTTCAGTTGGCATAATAAAACCACTTTCACAGAGTAATATCCACACTTGTGCTTAGATTAGTGTAACTTGTCACTTATGTGTGTGTAGGGGGGCTTATTCACACTCCTGAGTGACATAATTACACTGACATCATTAAGCTAATGTATATTTTAGCATGATTTGCTGATGTAAAAGTAGTATTTTGGAATGTAAAAATTGACAGCTCCAAATTGATGTTCTCTAGCTTTAGCTGAAAAGCATGAGCCATTCAAAGAATTATTATTTGGCTACATGACAGGTGCTGCATATAGCACAGGCACTTCAAACGTATCCTCAGGGCCTGTAAATGTACCTAGAAAGACCATCTCTTGAAATGAAAAGATAACCCACATAATCAATGTTTTGTCTATTTTTGGAAACTGGCCCCAATTAGTGTATATTGTTTTATTTATGCAGACAGCTGTTCACTGGAAACTGGACTGGAACTTCAAATAACTGTCAGACAGTGGTAGCACATCAACCACTATCATGATAGTGATTGATAGCCAGCTTTAGAAACAAAAGATTCTCTATTCTATTTGCAGCAACCTGCTCCACACATTCCTCTCACTAACTAGCTCCACAGTTCAAATAAATGTTACAGAAATACACGTGGAAGGTGTCTCAATCATGAATTCATCAGTTACATCAACTTTCTTTGAAACATACCCCAGTTGCCCTTCTAACCTTGTGGCTGGGTTCAGCCACATCTGAATTAGAAAACAATCATGTTAATCATCTTTATTTGTCTTCTAATAGAAAATTAAACTTGAGTTTGAACAGGCTGCCTCTGAATCAGCACTTATGTGTGTTGGTAGTAATGGCAAGATAGAAGGAAGTACATGTAGGAATTAATCTAAAGCAGAGCAAAAGGTTTGTTCCCTTCCATAAAGATTTTTATCCTTCTCAGTGCTAGAGAAGAATATTTATTTTGGAAAAAAAAATATAGAGTGAACGTAAACCTAAATATCTCCATTACAACTGCATTAAGAGAAAGCTGCATTTGTTCATTAAGACATATAAAGTGTTCTCTGGCATTCCTATAGCTCTCCCCAGGCACTAGTTACATTAATGGGCCAGTAAAGTACACTCTCCATTGTCTTCTTGCTCTAGCGTGGTGTTCAGCTCAAATCTAAAGACTATTTGTGAATGTTTTCTTTCCATGACAACAATATGGTTAGTCCATTAAAGCATAAACAGTTGGGGGCTACAGTGAATGTTCATTTAACAGGATAATTTTTCTCTCCAGGATGCTTACAACATGGCAGAACTCCAGATGTCTCTTCAAACTAGCCCAGCCTACTCTCTTTCTCTCTACAAGAAGAAAGGGAAACTATCAGAGCTGAACTGTCCCTTGAGTGGCAATGTGGCACCAACCCCACAGGAGCAGCTAAAAGCATTTGCAGCTAGCAGGAACTCCTCCTTTACCAATGAAGACTTTGGTCATTATCTGTCAGATGTTGTTAGGGATGTTGACCAGCAGCCACAGGCCTTGCCCCACGATTCCCTGCAGGTATATTACACAGAGGGAGAGGGCTCAGTAGCCAGCAGTCTCAGTTCCCTTGATTACTCTGGACTAGATGAGGAGATGGTATATGATGACATGAAAGAGTGGGGACCAAAGTTTGAAAAATTAAGTGAATTATATTCACACAAGGAGACAGAGGACATGTAGATTCCTATATTTACTTTTCTTGAAATTTTGAAAGCAATCATGAAGAGCTAGTCAATTTTTCATGAATTTGCTATGATGATATGCATGAAAACCCTCTTTGATGGTTGTTGGATACAGTCCAAATGCCCACTAAAGAGCCTTTTTTTTTAATCTAGAAGATAACATTCCAAAATAGGAGTTAAAACTCCAGACCTATTAGCCTTTTCTCTGTTTGTCCAGCAACTAAATGGAAAAAATAAAGAACTGGGAACACCTTAAAAAAGTAGTAATTGACATGTGATGCTGAGAAGTAAATGTCTCCTTTACTACAATTAATAAAGGCCTTTCCAGGGCTTTGTGTTCTAGCAAGGTAATTGTTAGAACGCAAAGAGAACCAGTATTAGACATATTGCATTCACATAGCACCTTATAGGAATATTGTCAACTGTCTGGAAAGCATGTCTTTTGTTCACCTCCTTCTGGCCTAAAATATAAATTGTACCATATACAATCTTGTCCTCTGAATTAACAGTTTGAACAAAATGTTCACTTAAATATAGTAGCCTTCATTTCAGGGGTGTTGCCTGGGTGTAGCTGAAAACACAATTGGGTCTTACCTTTGATTATAATTTTGAAATTCCTTTGTGCCATGGTACAAAGAAAGAGGCTGAATTTGAGCTCATAGAAAGAAATCAGCTACTTATAGCCAAACCTTTCATTTGGTATTCCTTTTTTTTAAAAGCATTAACTTAGAAATGTGAGACAAATACCAGAACCTGCTTAAAGCTTATGAAACAAGTTGATTTCACTGTTTTGTTAAAACTCCATCTTACTGAAATATGACCAAACTGTCAGGCTACGTCTAGACTGGCCCCTTCTTTGGAAGAGGCATGCTAATTTCTAACTTTGGAATAGGAAAATCCGTGGGGGATTTAAATATTCCCCGCGGGATTAAAATAAACATGGCCGCCGCTTTTTTTCCGGCTTGGGGAAAAGCCAGAAAAGAGCGTCCAGACTGGCACGATCCTCCAGAATAAAGCCCTTTTCCGGAGGATCTCTTATTCCTACTTGCAAGAGATCCTCCGGAAAAGGGCTTTATTCCGGAGGATCGCGCCAGTCTGGACGCTCTTTTCCGGCTTTTCCCCAAGCCGGAAAAAAAGCGGCGGCCATGTTTATTTTAATCCCGC